ACCAATTAAAGAACCGAGAGACACCCCCGGCCCCCACTTGTTGCCGGGAAGCTCCGCTCCGCATCGCGGCTCAGCCCGCCCCGAGGGAGCGGGGCCCCTGCCTGCCCGCTCGCTCCCCTGCCAACTGCCTCCTCGCCCCCGGAAACCTGCAGCCCCCCACCTTCCTGCTCCCGGCTGGGCTGTGCTCCGAGGGGCTGTAGAAAAGCCCCCTCTTTCCCTGACTGCAGGCAGCCCTTGCCCACTCTGTGCCCAGGGCAGAGGGGACCAGCCCCGGCAGGATTCCCCAGTGCCCCCCTGAACCAGGCAATGCTACAGCCATGTCCCTCTCCCAGCTGCCTGTACCTCTGCTGCCAGAGCCCAGCCCGAGCTGCAGGCAGGGGAGAGGGTGAAGGGGCTCCTCCTCAGCCTGTTTCCCCTTCCAACTCTACCTGCCCCTGATAAGGCCCGGCACAGACCGAGGCTTGACATCAGTCTCCAGGCTTTGCAATTGTGCTCATTCCCATGGCAACAACAAACACACAATTATAGATATATAATATTATATAAACCCAAGCGGGCTCTCGGGCAGGAGTGCAAGGTTCACCTGCTCACAGCCTCCTCCCAAGCCCAGGAGGCAGCTCCCACCAGAGCACGGAGAGGTGGCTTCAGCCCCGTGAAGATGCTCAGCCCGCAGATGCCCGGCAGCTCCAGGATCCAGCCCCGGGCAGCCCCAGCCTGCCTGTCCCGCTGCCTCTCCGGGGGCAGGCAAACAAAGCGCAGCACAGCAGGCGATTCAATTACAAAACTTCCCACAGGGAAGAGGAAACCGAGCAGCCCTGTTCCTCCCCGGTACACAGGGAGTTTTGCAGAGGTGGCTATGGAGAGAGGACAGGCAAATGCAGCAGCAGAATTGAGGCTGGGGCTGCTTTCCTCATACTCCCTCCTCCTCACACTACCCATACATCAAACTGTAATGCAGTGTCCAGGGCTAATGAAAACATAATTATGCCTATTTAGATGCACCAAGAGTAATCTAATGGTAAGCTACCCAACAATGCATTGGGCAGGGAGTCCTGCCCTGTGGAGGATTAGTAGGTGCACACCGGCAAAGAAGGGCTTCGCGACCCAGTCACAGGCTGAAAATTGTCAGCTTCATTCCAGACTAAGGATAATTCAAAACCTTCGCCTTTCAGGGCTCACAGCTTTGAGCATGGCCTTAGTGCTGCAGGGCTGTGTGTGCTAGTGAGTATGAGAGAAACTGAACCAGTGCCCCTTGGATGGGGGCACAGACAAATGAGGGGTGAGCAGAGCATGGCTGGAGGTCAGGCTCATGCAAGGCTGACGGGTGTGATGGCACTTGTGGGGTGTTTGAGGGGACTCTGTGCTGCCAGAGCCACCTGGACACAGGATATGAGCTCCAGCCACCAGCACCTCGCAGCTCTTCTGCCCTCCTGCCAGTGAGGCAGATCTGCAGGAGGCAAGACCGTGCTGGGGAGGTGAAGACCTGACTGCTGGGGTGCTTAGGTCCAGCCAAGCAGGGCTCCCCACCCTGCTGTGGGACACAGCTTTAGCAGGGCAGCTCACCCTCCCCACCACCACACCCTGCAGCTGCACCCCTGGCAGGACCCCAGCCCTCTCCACTAGCCCAGGGCTTAGGGGAACCAGATGAGCTGTGCTCATCCGTGGGCCATGTCCTCACCACGGCATGGCAGCACTTCCTTCTCCTGCAGAAAACTTAATGGGACAATGCTCATTTTCCTATCATCTGGAGCTTTGCTGAAGCCCGTAAATCCGGGCAAGTCAGGAGCAAAGTGTCAGTATGAGAAAGGAGCTGCTGGCCTGTGCATGTCCTGTGCATCCCTCTGAGCCAGGGAGTAGCCCCAGGTAGCCTTCCCTTCCAGCCCATAGCCATGAGTCAGCCCGGGGAGGAAGGGTTGGAGGTTCATAAACAACTAATGAAATAGATGTTGGTCTGTGAATGGAGAAGGTGGAGCGAGACCCTCTCCAGCCCATCTGCACCCACTGAGCCCCTTCCCGCACAGCTCTCAGTGTGACAGCAAATGTTTGCACCTTCCTCCCTCCAACAAAGAGCATTTGTGGACAGGATTTCTCCACAGGAAGCACATTCCTGTAATCCTGCCTCATCCTACTTGGGTAGCTGAGAGCCCCAGAGAAGAGACCTCAGCTCCGGAGAAGCCGCCCCGTGCCCAGCCCTGCCGAGCCAGCCTCAACCATGGAAGTTGCTTCCCCCCTTTTCACAGCTGGGAGCAAATACAGGCAGTGCTACCGAGCACGTTATCCCCCCCAGAACTGCCCAGGAGAGGGAATAGCCTCCTCTCTGCCCCTTGCACAGCTGCTCCCCGGTTCCCCCTCTCCTCTGAAATCAGCTCAGCGCTGCTTGCTTCTGGCCATATGCTGCCAGCGGTCAGAGAAGCCAAATATAAACACAGCAGCTAATCTCACCCAAGTTTCCTTTCCCTCCTCCTCCCCCCCGCCCCGAACCTGGGCTCTTTTCCCTCTCCTGCCGCCCTTCATCCTCACCCACCTCTCTTTCGGGAGCTGGCGGCAGCTGTGGGCTCCGGCGGGGAGGTCGGGTGCGTGTCAAGGAGCTGGCGATGGGTCTGTCTCGAGGGGTGGGTGGCTGGCAGCCGGCTCTGCTGCCGGAGCTCACAGCCTGCCAGCGGGAACGTGCCGCTCAGGATGCTCGGCTCTCTAAGATCCTTAGGAAACCGTGGCCTCGGCACAGATCACACACACAATATCCCCAGCAGCCGCAGCTCTGGAGTTATTCGGCTGCTATTTCTATGCAACTCGAAATGCGTTCGAGGGATTACTGCCCGGGGAATAAAGAAAAGGCTAAACATATTTATACTAAAGCTTAAGGAGCCTATGTAACTGCACACACACACACCAGCTGATAGGGGGGTCTGGCACAGAGGCTGCAGTGATTTGGGACAAATCCCAGGATTGTCTGTCTGTGCTCTAGTTTAGAGCAAGTGCCTATGCTGGTGCTTGCCTAGAGGTGGCAGTGAGCCTTCGCTCTTGTCCTCTCCCCGAGCAGAGCAGAGCAGCACATGAGGGCCTGGGAAGTCCCCAGCTGAGCTGGAGCTTTGCGCTCTCTGCTGGGTTGGCCGCAGGGGAAGTGTTTGTTGTGGGCACAAATACAGGTACCTGTGCCCACCTGGCACACGCAGATCCCAGGCAGGACTTGAAAGGAGGAGTCCTGCTGCCTCCTTCCTCTGTCCTCTATGCGTGTAATGCACACCCATGCCACTGGCTCAGGGGGGATTTCTTCGACATCCTCCCCTCTGCAAGGTGCATGGGGAAAAGATGTGCGTCTGATCAAATCCAGGTTGCCTTTAAAACCTGGAAGGACCTGGCCAAGAGAGTTTGCTTTTAGAAACATCCCTGTGCCAGCTCCCAGCTCCACTAGCCCACAAGCTCCAGGGCATGTCTGGGGGAAAACACTTTGCTCCCCACTTTCAGGAGCTGTAACAAATCTTGAGCTACCACACAAGGATGTGGCAACGTGAAGTCTTCCAGCACAAACACTAATGTCAGCTTTTCCCCAAAACTGTCCCTCCCTTCCAACAAGACACCTGTAAATCCCACCAAAACGTAAATATATGCCTTAAACCTCCTTGCACTGGGGGTTAGAGTTCAAAACATGCTGCTGGAAAGATTCTTTCAGAGCATATCTCACAGCCTCCAAGGGAATAAAGTGGGTTATAAAGGGTGATCTCTCTCTCACACATACGTGTGGGCACGCATGCACACACCAAATCTAATAAAAAGATATTATTCCAGGAGTATTTGGCTTCTGGCATTCAACTAACTCAAGCTTCATACAGACACCAAAGAAATGAAATTATGGGAGCACACAAACAAGAAATTCCAGGGGGATGAATTAATGTTTCATCACTCTTACAGGGCAGAGAAGTACCTGTCTGTCTTCCCTTGCATTTCTTTTTCTTGTATTTCAAAATGTGAACCCCCTACCTTTAAAAGTCACAGTAGCATGTTTCCTCCAGCCCAAGCCCTAACCATCTTTCCATCAAAATCAAAACTGCTTTCATTATCATCTAAGGACATGTTGGAGGGCTGACAAACACACCAAAGTTCAAGGACTTCTTGTAAATCCAGGGTCTAATTTAGACAGATTTTAAAAACCTGCTTTAAGACCTTGCTTCACAGGCTGAAAGGGGTTGGAGTTACTTCTGGGTTATTCAGATGCAAACACTGTTTTGAAACACAAGTGCCTGAGCCATCCACCAGCAGCTGTAAGTTTGGGGGCAGATGCTCGGCAGCGGCAGAGCTACATGACTCCACTGAAATCAGCAGAATTGAACTCATTAAAGCCAGCTAAAACCAGCCAGTTCTCAGTATTTTATACCATCTGAGTCCGTATTTCAAGCCCATTCCATTCTAGTGGGATCCAGCCCCCGAATGGTACCTTTTAACCTTTGGATCAATTATCTGGGTAATTACAAACTAGAAAAATCACTTTTGTGTCAACCTTAAACAGTATATTTAGAGATGTTATTTTTTTCTATTAAGTGACACATTTCAGAGGACTGTAGGTTAAAGACTCTTTTGAAAAGATCCAAATCCCTAATCTTAAATGAAAAGTTATCACCAGAGGACCTTGGGGTGGGTGGTGACAAACACAGGAAAGGGCCCTGCGTCAGCCAGCGCCCTGGGTAAATAGGGACGGGGAGGAGAGCGGAGGGCTTGGAGCAGGCTGACAAGCCTGATAAGCCAAATCTGCAACGCATTCATTGCAAAAAAGAACACAAAGCAAACCCAAAAGCAGAGAAACAGCTGCTGTCGAGTTCTTAATTTCTAAAAAAGAGCAAGAAGGAAAAAAATGCCAAAAATACTCCACTACCCACTAGCAAAGCCCCTCACGTGCCTCCCTGCAGGATGGGTTGGGAGGGAGGCTCCAGCATCCCTAGCTCCCCCACCTCCCTGACCCACTTAAGCCAAGCAGTGTATTTGGGGCACCCCACGAGGAGGAGCGAGCTGTGCAGCCCCTCCATCACATAGACCCCAGTTTCTTCCAGCCTGGATGGAGCAGCAAAGTGATGCAGCCCCAGCTGCATCGACCAAGGTGAAGGCTACAAATTACTCATGGCCCCAGAAAAAAAAAACCACAACACCACAGAAAAAGCCTTGGGGGATGTACAAGCATAGGGGAACACAAAAATGTTGGTCACCCACCTCTGAATCAGCACCATTTGGCCGCGGCCAAACAGCAACTGAGGATCTTTCACAGCCCAAACGTGTGAGTCAGCAGCTCCCCCAAAAAAGGGAGAAAAACAAGAAGTCAAGAGGCAGAGCTGTGTTTTTTTCCCCCTTTCCTTCCACAGATCAAACAAAGAAAGATGGTACTCAGCCTTTCCACTGACTGGGGAGAAGTTTGCAGAAGCTATGCCAGGAATTTAGAATTATTTCTGGAAGGATTTTAATGGGATATTGAAACACTGCTGTAATTTAAAGGTATTAAACAGCTTATTCTATTTAAGCCAAGATGAAGCAAACCCTTCCACAAACCACTTTGATTTGAGCCGATGAATACTAGCATGGTCAGGAGAGCTTGGGAGCCTGACGCGAAGCCCTGGCAGCAGGTTTGAACGTGCCAGGTCCTGGGTTCGCAGCTTTTTACTTTTCTTCTTCTTTTTTTTTTTTTTTTTTTTTTTAAAAAAAAAAATTTTTTTTTTTTTTTTTTTTTTTTTTTTTTTTTTTTTTTTTTTAAAAAAAAAAAAAAAAAAGTGCAATTTACAGCTTTTTGGCTACCTCTAGATGCAGCTTGACCTCACCTACCTCTAGGCTGCAAGAGGCTTCCCACAGCCAAATCCTGGCTCACATGCAGCCCCTCTTGTTTCAGGCTCCTGAAAGCAGGGCTGACCCTACTAATGCAAGAGAATCAGGGCTCAGCAGCTCACCAGTGTCACCTGTGAGAGCTTCATTAGCACCAGGGACCCCATCCCCAAGCGGGGCTGACATCAGCTCTAAGGTTGACAAAGACTTTGCCTGTGGTCGCAAACATCCTTGATGCTTCCTTGCAAGGTCACTGGTGCCACGTGCATTTCAGCCCAGATCCCAGCCCCCTGCTTGGTGTCCCGCCCATTCCAGCCACCTGGGACCCATTTTCATGCAAGTCACAAAAACATCCTATTTTTGAGGTCTGAACCCTCCCATTAAATTTGGTCAAAATTAGCTGGATTTGTTAGGAAGAGACAGATGGATAAGCCAGAGCACAGCTGGATGAACTGTTTTTCCTTAGCAAAGTGGTGCCAAAGGCATCCCCCGAAAGAAAAAACAGCTCCCTAAACCTTCTAGTGTTTTGGTCCTGTTGGGGAAGGAAAATTGTGCCTGTGTTTAAAAGCTGAAAGATTTCCACCTCTTGATACCTCTGATGGGTGATAGTAACTCCACCAAGGGTAACATCACTGCCCACAGAACCCAAACCAGCTGCTCGAGGGGAGGGCTAAAATATGTTTTCTTTGCTCTTTAGCTGGAGTTACTCTCCCAGGCTGGGCCATGGTTAAGTCCCAGGCAAGGAGAGGTTTCCTGATGGGCACACATAGACTTTCCTAGTCCCACCGCCCGAACCTGGGATCCTGCCCAGTTTGTAGAGGGAGGAGGTGAAATCCCGGGAAATCCTGTCTCTCTGTGCCAGGGAAACGCTGGAGGGGCCCCAACTGTTTTTATTTCCAGGCTTCTGCTTTCCCTGCTGTGTTTTCACACGCTTCAGCTCTTATGAGATGACTTGGTGAAGTCCTGATTAAATTGATTGCTGTGACATTAACATCTGACCTAGGGTTTTGCCTCCAGCCAGCCGTAGCTGTGTGCTTTCGGGCTTTGCCTAACAAGCTTGTGGATATCCTCGCCTTTCTGTAATGCTTTGTGCAGAGCTGGCTGGTAATCTGTCTGCCGGCCCAAGGGTCACGGCAGCAGGACTCGCTGCTGCAGCTCTCCAGCTCCATCTGGTTGAGCTTCTGCTCATGGTCCAGCTCTGGACCTGTGGGCGATGTGTCCTACCTTGCCCCCAAAGCAGGGAGAAGCGAGATTCCAGTGGGAGCAGCACTGCCGTTGCCCTTGGGCTCCTTCAATGGCCCTTTCAGCCATCAGGCCACTGGCAGAAGCCATTTGGCAATGGAAGTTGGGTTGTGGCTGCAGTTCCTCTAGACTTCATGAGTGTCCCCAAACGAGGCTGACACCACTGCATGTCAGATGTGTTAAATCCCCCTCTCATTCCACCACTAAACACTGGAGAAGAGCCCAGACAGGAGGATGGAGACCCACGGGCTTTGCCCCCACGCTGGCCAAGCATCATGGCTGGCGGAGCAGGACAGACCCAGCCCCACTGCAGCCGTCTCCAGCCCAGTAATGTTTTCTGCCCTGCTGAGATCAATATCGAATAGTTGTGGGCCAAGAGGGAGGAGAGGTGCTCAGAAGATACCAGGAGAGCTGGTATCAAAACCACTCAGATTTTTATTTTATTTTTAGCAATGTTATTATCCCATCCTCATTTGAGGGTTTTTTGCAGCAAGAGCAGCTGATGGCCTGGAAACAGGCTCTGAGTTAGGAGTGGGAGGCACCCATCCATGCAGCCCAAGGGAGAGCTT